TATCAACAGATGGGTATCCAGCCCACTAAACAAGCCATTTCGAATATTTATGTTCACCCCTGATCAATACAGGACATGCTGTTTTTGTTGTACAGATTTTTTTTCTCAACTTAAGATCAGGACTAGAGTATCGACTATCTCTAAATATAATTAAGAAATTTTAATAGTTTCTATACCAGTTTTATTGGATTCGGTGTTTTCCATCTGAAAGTCACCTTATGTAAAACTTGGGCTAAAAGGCCAGGTCAGAGCTGCCCTTGTGGCTTAGATCTGCTGACCAGAGGGAAGGCAACCAATCAACAACACACGTCGCCTACTGGATTGACTGTCACTTTTATTACATTCCAATAGTTGAAAGTGTGGAGTGTGTTCAGCAACATTATCGGGCCTGAATCTTGGTTCTTCCGATAAGCAAACCGGCACGGTAACCATTAGCTAGTTTGAATATCAGTTATTAACATTTGCTTTGAACAAAACTTGTATATAACGTTTCGCTAATAGATTAGAAGCGGGTTGGTAGTGACAAGAGAAAATCGTTTCTCTGCTAACTTTAAAGGTCAGCTGTTAATGTGTGAAAATGCAAGACAGCGTAAATATGTCCGATTTCCGTGTTAAAGACTAACAAACAAGCAACATATTGTTGAAATAGGCTGTTCTTCATGTTATAGTGTCCTATCAATGCATTTTCCGATAACTTATTACTGAAATATTACATCGTGTAACTATTACACGTGGTGACTGAGAACTTAAACTTGTGCTTGCTTAGGAATTAATTTAAAAGTTTTAGTTCCAGTGATGGTGGTTGAAAGTCATCCAAGCCATACATATTTTTATCAATGGTGTCATACATTTTTACAGATATGGGCCTAGCACGTGCCTCCTAAAATTTACCAATACTTAATCTCTTTAGACATGTGCAGAAAAGTTTCGTTAGGCGATTTAGTACTCAACCGTAAAGGACAGGCCAAACTGACCCTACATGACCTTCTCTATCAATAAATTGACTGAAATTAATTTTACGTAGAGAAAAGGAATTCGTGTAAAGTGTAAATTGTTATATAATAAGGGTCAAGTCAACTGAGAGGGTAAACAAACTGGGGGTTAAAGGTCAACATCTGTCATCCAAAGTGTTACTGGGAATAGTAACTTCTTTAGTTGGAATTTATCTTCGTATCTAATCACTGAAATATAGGAAATATAAGTTTATTGTATTAACGTCAATTATTTCCACGTCTGTTGGGAAGAAATATCATTACAACTTCATACTTCTATAGCATGTTAGTTGTAGACGTAGAAACTAAATAGTTGTAATACCGTCATCGTATCATAACAATTTCACACTTCTATAGCATGTTAGTTGTAGACGTAGAAACTAAATAGTTGTAATACCGTCATCGTATCATAACAACTTCATACTTCTATAACATGTTAGCTGTAGACGTAGAAACTAAATAGTTGTAGTACCGTCATCGTATCATAACAACTTCATACTTCTATAACATGTTAGTTGTAGACGCAGAAACTAAATAGTTGTAGTACCGTCATCGTATCATAACAACTTCATACTTCTATAGCATGTTAGTTGTAGTCATAGAAACTAAATAGTTGTAGTACCGTTATCGTATCAAAACAACTTCATACTTCTATAACATATTAGTTGTAGTCATAGAAACTAAATAGTTGTAGTACCGTCATCGTATCACAACTTCACACTTCTATAGCATGTTAGCTGTAGACGTAGAAACTAAATTTCAAGATTGTTAGTTCCTATGTTTGTCATTATGAAATTAAATATCTGTTACTCCCGGAAATAAAGTTTTATTTAAAAACACGGATTTCCTATTTTCGAGTTTTACTTTCTCTGTCATCAACTCATCCAATTTCTGTAAGGGTTAACTTTATTCCATCTGTAACTTAAGGGTTTAGATCCTATTTCTGATCTTCAGGGGTTTATTATTCAGGATATTCATTCCTTGTCTTTTGTTGTCACACCAGTGAAGACGTCTTTCGCATAGCCTTCTATTTCGTCTATGAAATCCAGGCGGATCAGTTCGCGGCCCGACATGGCCAGGTAGTTAGGGCGCTCGACTCACAATCTGAGGGTCGCGGGTTCGAATCTTCGTCACACCAAACATGCTCGCCCTTTCCGCCGTGGGGACGTTATAATCTGACGGTCAAACCCACTATTCGTTGGTAAAATAGTAGCCCAAGAGTTGGCGGCGGGTGGTGATGACTAGCTGCCTTCCCTCTAGTCTTGCACTGCTAAATTAGGGACGGCCAGCGTAAATAGCCCTCGTGTAGCTTTGCGCGAAATTTAAAACAAACAAACAGATCAGTGCAATTAGTTTGATAGCTTAGTTTTAAATTTAGACAGGGTCTTCTGTCAACTTTGTTTACATTCTATCTTTTTAACTCAGTTATTTGCAGCTTGAATTCAGTTTATCCTGATAACACACCAGGTGTGATTCATCGTAAGAGTCGTGTGACTTGTTGTTGTTTTCTTTACGGTATAGATCTGTTTCAGTCTCTAAGGTTGATCACCTTTACCTTTTGATTCGTTCTTGTCAACTAACAACATTCTCACATATTAGATTATCATGTACTTTACCCAGCTACGTGTGTGTCACATATTAGATTATCATGTACTTTACCCAGCTACGTGTGTGTCACATATTAGATTATCATGTACTTTACCCAGCTACGTGTGTGTCACATATTAGATTATCATGTACTTTACCCAGCTACGTGTGTGTCACATATTAGATTATCATGCACTTTACCC